TCAAAAGCATCAATTCTTCAGCGCTCAGCTTTCTTCACAGTCCAACCCTCACATCCATACATGACCACAGGAAAAACCATAGCCTTGACCAGATGGACCTCTGTTGGCAAAGTAATGTCTCTGCTTTTTAATATGCTGTCTAGGTTGGTCATAACTTTTCTTCCAAGAAGTAAGCATCTTTTAATTTCATGGCTGCAGTCACCATCTGTGGGAGCCCAAAAAAATAAAGTCAGCCACTGTTTCCACTGTTTCCCCATCTATTTGCCATGAAGTGATGGGACCAGATGCCATGATCTTAGTTTTACTGAATGTTGAGCTTTAAGCCAACTTTTTCACTCTCCTCTTTCACTTTCATCAAGAGGCCTTTTAGTTCCTCTTCACTTTCTGCCATAAGGGTGGTGTCATCTGCATATCTGAGGTTATTGATGTTTCTCCCAGCAATCTTGATTCCAGCTTGTACTTCTTCCAGCCCAGCATTTCCAATGATGTACTCTGCATATAAGTTAAATAAGCAGGGTGACAATATACAGCCTTGATGTACTCCTTTTCCTATTTGGAACCAGTCTGTTGGTCCACGTCCAGTTCTAACTGTTGCTTCCTGACCTGCATATAGGTTTCTCAAGAGGCTGGTCAGGTTGTCTGGTATTCCCATCTTTTTCAGAATTATCTATAGTTTATTGTGATCTACACAGTGAAAGGCTTTGGCATAGTCAATAAAGCAGAAGGAAATGTTTTTCTGGAACTCTCTTGCTTTTTTGATGGTCCAGCAGATGTTGGCAATTTGATCTCTGCTTCCTCTGCCTTTTCTAAAACCAGTTTGAACATCTGGAAGTTCACGGTTTACATATTGCTGAATCCTGGCTTGGAGAATTTTGAGCATTACCTTACTAGCGTGTGAGATAAGTGCAATTGTGCAGTAGTTTGAGCATTCTTTGGGACTGGAATGAAAACTGACCTTTTCTAGTCCTGTGGCCATGCTGAGTTTTCCAAATTTGCTGACATATTGAGTGCAGCACTTTCACAGCATCATCTTTCAGGATTTGAAATAGCTCCACTGGAATTCCATCACCTCCACTAGCTTTGTTTGTAATGATGCTTTCTAAGGCCCACTTAACTTCACATTCCAGGATGTCTGGCTCTAGGTGAGTGATCACACCATTGTGATTATCTGGGTCGTAAGATCTTTTTTGTACAGTTCTTCTGTGTATTTTTGCCACCTCTTCTTAATATCTTCTGCTTCTGTTAGGTCCATACCATTTCTGTCCTTTATCGAACCCATCTTTGCATGAAATGTTCCCTTGGTATCTCTAATTTTTTTTTTAGGAGATCTCTAGTCTTTCCCATTCTGTTGTTTTCCTCTATTTCTTTGCATTGATCGCTGAGGAAGGCTTTCTTATCTCTCCTTGCTATTCTTTGGAACTCTGCATTCAGATGGGAATATCTTTCCTTTTCTCCCTTGCTTTTTGCTTCTCTTCTTTTCACAGCCATTTGTAAGACCTCCTCAGACAGCCATTTTGCTTTTTTGCATTTCTTTTCCATGGGGATGGTCTTGATCCCTGTCTCCTGTACAGTGTCATGAACCTCTGTCCATAGTTCGTCAGACACTCTGTCTATCAGATCTAGTCCCTAAAATGTATTTCTGTTACTAGTAACCAACTGAAAAAGTATATAAGGCCTTGATAAGATTAGCACGGTGGTCACTCTCCGTACCCCTTCTGATGTCTGTGTCAGAAGCTTTCTCTGTCCCTTTTTCACTGTAATAAAACTCCTGCCACACAAAAGCTCTGAGTGATCAGGCCTCGTCTCTGGCCCTTAAAGGAAATCAAGCCTGAATTTTCACTGGAAGGACTGATGCTGAAGCTGAAGCTCCAATACCTTGGCCACCTCATGTGAAGAGCTGACTCATTGGAAAAGTCCCTGATACTGGGAAAGATTGAGGGCAGGAGATGAAGGAGGTGACAGAAGATGAGATGAATGGATGGTATCTCCAACTCAGTGGACATGAGTTTGATGAAACTCTGGGAGATAGTGAAGGACAGGGAAACCTGGTGTGCTGCTGTCCATGGGGTTGCAAAGAACTGGACACAACTATTTAACTGAATAGCAACAACCTTGTGATGTGCAGAATTCTACTGAAAAATCAGCTGATAACCTTATGGGATTTCCCTTGTGTGTTTTTTGTTGCTTTCCCCTTGTTGCTTTTAATATTTTTTCATTGTATTTAATTTTTATCAATTTGATTAGTATGTGTCTTGGCATTTTCCTCCTTGGGTTTATCCTGTTTGGGACTCTCTGCACTTTATGGACTTGGGTGACTGTTTCCTTTCCTATGCTATAGAAGATTTTAGTGCTTATATCTTTAAATTTTTGCTTAGGCCCTTTCTCTCTCTCTCTTCAACTTTTGGGGCTCCTATAATGCAAGCATCCCAAATGTTTAACTTTGGGACTAATGTTATGTTAATGTTGCCACAGAAGTTTCTTAAACTGTCCTCAGTTCTTTTATTCTTTTGTTTTATTCTGTTCTGTGGCAATGATTGCCACCATTCTGTCTTCAAGCTAACTTATCTGTTCTGTCTCATTTTCTACTATTGATTCCTTTTAGTGTGTTTCATTTTAGTTATTGTATTCGCCAACTCTTTTGTTGTTGTTCTTTGTTTCTTTTAGCTCTTTTTTAAAGATTTCTTGTATCTTTTTGGTCTGTTCCTCAATTCTTTTTCTGAGATTTTGGGTCATCTTTACTATCATCACTATGAGTTATTTTTGGGGTAGATTGTTGCCTATCTTCTCTTCACTTAGTTGTTCTTTTGGAGTTTTATTAATATCTTCTTCCTTCATCTGCACCATATTCCTCTGCTACTTCATTTTGTCTAACTTTCTGTGTTTGCAGTCTTCATTCCACCAAGTGCAGGATTGCAGTTACTCTTCTGTTGTCTCCCCTCTGGTGTGTAAGATTGGTCTGAGAATCTTGTACAGGCTTCCTGGTGGGAGGGACTGGTTCCTGCCCACTGGTGGAGAGAGCTGGGTCTTGTCCCTCCAGTGGACAGGGCTGTATTGGGGTTTGTTTAGAGGTGACTCTCGCCTTGGGAAGACTGTAGGCAGTCTGTCTCCTGATGAGTGGGGCTGTATTCCCACCCTGTTGTTGTTGGCCTGAGACATCCCAGAGACTATTGGATGGATTGTGTCTTGGTGTCAGTGTGGTGGCCCACAGGAGAGCTCACACCAGTGAGTATTTCCTGGAACCTCTGCCACCAGTGTCCTTGTTTCTTCAGTGAGCCACAGCTGTCCTCTGCCTCCCCAGGAGACCCTGTAAGATCAGCATGTTGGTCTGGAGCAGGTTCCTATGAAGTTACTACTTTTTCCTTGGGTCCTGGCATAGATACATAAGACCCTGTGTGTGCTCTTCAAGAGTGGAGTTTCTGCTTCTCACAGTCCTACGGAGTTCCCCCAATCTTGTCCACTGTTCTTCAAAGTCAGATGTTCTGGGGACTTCTTCTGAAACCAGACCCTCAGTCTGGGGAGCCTGATATGGGGTTCTGTCTCAGTTCTTGTGAGACAGTCTCTGTAATATATGTTCCAGTTTGTGGGTTGCCCATCTGGGTGGTATGGGATTTTATTGTGAATGCATGCTTCATATTGTCTTGTTGTGGCTTCTTTGTTTTTTGATATAGAGTATCTTTTTTGGTAGGTTCCAGTCATTTTTGTTGATGATTGTTCAGCAGTTAAGTATGATTTGGGTGTTTTCATGAGAGGAGGCAACTCATGTCCTTCTACTCTGGCATCCTGTTTCCAGTCTCCTAAGTATGTTATTCTTTAATGCTAGTGTAAGTGAGACTTGTGTCCTTAACTTCCTTTTTGGATGTCTTTTATTAGTCTGTAGGAACATATCTGATTTTGTATGTTTATTTTTGTGTTCTGCAGCATTCCTGGATTCATATGATTACTTTCATTAGTTTGATTGATCCAAAGGGTTTTTTGTGTGGAATCCTTTGGATTTTCTCTGTATAAGATCATGCTATCTATAAATACAGACTGTTTCACTTCTTCCCTTATGATTTAGATATGTTTCATAATTGTCCTGACTAAAACATCCATTACTGTGTTGAATACAAGTGGCAATAATGGGTATCCTTGTCTTGCTCTAGATTTTAAGAGAAAACACTTTCAGTTTTTCAGTGTTATGTATGATGTCAGCTGTGGACATTTCATATATGGCCTTTATTATGTTAAAGTACCTTGTTTGTGTACACAATTTGTTGAGTGTTTCTGTTATTGAAGAGTGTTGAATTTTGTTACTCTTTCTGTGTTGAGATTATTATACGATTTTTATCTTTTATTTTAGTAATTAGTGTATTACATTTATTGATTTGCATATACTGAACCATCCTTGCCTTACAAGGATAATTCCCCTTGATCATGATCTGTGGTGCTTTAATTGTGCTATTGGATTTGGTTTGCTCAAGTATTTTGAGGAGTTTTGCATCTTTATTTATCAGGAATATTTGCATGTAGTTTTCTCATAGTGTCCTTATGTGGCTTTGATATCAGCATAACTCTGGCCTCATAAAATGAATCTGGACATGTTCCCCTACCCTTCCATTTTTTGAAAAGTTTGAGAAAGATTGGTGTTAGTAGAATTTACTTGTGAAGCCATCAGGTCTTCGAAAGTAGCATAAGAATATCAGATCCTGTTTACTTATGCCATCTTGAGAAATGGAACCACATCTTACTGTTTGTTTAGCTACTTCTTTGTTTTCTGACCACATTAGAGCATTATTATATATTAAGGAAATTCCTGAACAGAAAAATACAAGCAATTTAATTTTCTTTATTTCAAATACAAAATCATTTTTGCTATCAAACTTTGAGACTGATTAAGGAGAAAATTAGGAGAAAGAAGTAATACTGTTATTTGCTTGATGTTCACATTATTAGGTAATTAACATTAAAAAAAAAAACTTTTTCTCCATTGCTGGAATTGAACATACACTTTTTGTAGAAGAATGGATTTGTTGACACTCAACCAGTTGACAGTGCTCCTCTGGAAAAATTTTACCTTAAAGGTATGTAAAGGTATCCTTGGAAAATGTCCATAAATGCCCATGTGGTGCAGTTTGGAGTTTGGGTGTGGGTGGGGTTGGGTTTATATACATGCACACACTTGAAAAATCAATTCCAGAGCTGAAACTAGCTCTTTCAAATGTATGAAACTGCATTAATCAATAGTATAGTCTGACCTGTAAGAAAACTGGTTAGGAGAGTTGGATGGATGATATGAAACTTTAGCTGTTCCAGGGTGAAATTGGCAGAAACTTAATATAATAGAACTATCTATTTGCTTTGAATGTGTACTCTTAAGTTAATTAACACAATCTTTTTGTTCCTCTTCTAGAGGAGGCAGTTCTTTAATTTAATATTGGAAGTCGTAACTACATTGGCGTTTCCAATGATGCTTTTGCTCTTACGTGCTGTTATTCATATAACTGTTGCTGGACCTTACAGTTTTACTTCTCAACCCATCAGTACTCTGCCTTCATTCCTCCAAAATGATGAAACATGGGAATTGATTTATGTGCCTTCTAATATTGATGTGGTAAAAGAGATCACTGAGAATGTGAAGAGGAATCTAAACATCAGTATAAAAGGTTAGAAATTAAGGTTTTCTGTAAAGCTTATCATTAACGTTTTTGATGGAGCTGAAACAGTATAGAGAAAAGAATAAGAATAAAGTTGGATGAATCACACTGCCCAATTTGAACATTTCTCTCTGGCTGCTTTCAAGATATTTTCTGTCTTTATTTTTCAAAAGTTTGATTATGATGTGTCTGTGGATATCTTTTGGCTTTTTTCTTTGGGGTTCACTGAGCATTTTGAATCTGTAAGTTGCACAAAGTTGGGGGACTTTACAATAATTATTTTTAAAATTGTTTTTTAACACGGCCATCTTTCTCCTCCTCTAAGACTATGATGATACATTTTGTATTGTCCCACAGGTTGTTTAGGCTCTGTTCAACTTTTGTCTAATCTTTTTTTTCCTCTCTTGTTCAGATTAGAAAATTTCTATCTTGAATGACTCCTTCCTGTATTATAACTATACAGGTATTGAGCCATCAAATGAGTTGTGTTTTTTAAAGCACAAAGTGATCACCTCCTGATTTGTTTCCCTTAATTAAGTAACTTTTTTAAGATATAATGCACATTCCATACTTTCATCCATTTGAAGTATGTAATTCAGTGGCTTCAGTATATTCACAGAGGTGTGCAACCACTGCCACAATTAATTTTAAAGCATTTTTATCACCAAAAATAAATTCCAAAATCTTTAGTCATAGCCCCACAATTATCCATCCCTATCAAGATAAGAAAAACAGTAATTTCCTTTTATGTCTACAGATTTGCCTATTATAAATCTTTTATATAAATAAATGGTTTACATATGAACCTTTAATATAAATTGTTTACATGTAAACCTTTTATATCAACTTTATAAAATGCACTATGTGGTCTTTCATGACTCTCTTCTTATACTTAAAATGTTTTCAGGGTTTACTCATGTTGCATGCATCAGTTCTTTATTCCTTTTCATTGTCAGATAATATTCCATTGTATGGATACGCTGCATTTAATTGGTACAATATATCTTTCATCAGTTGAAGGACATTTGGGTTGTTTTTTACCTTTTGGCTACTATAAATAATACTGCTACAAACATTCATCTATAGGTTTTATGTAGACATAAGTTTTCATTTCTGTTGGTTATACAACAAGAGCAGAATAAATGTGTCATATGTTTACTCTATTTTTAACTTTTCAAGGAAATGCCAGACTGTTAACTAAAGTCGTTATACCATTTTACATTCTGATTAGCAGTGAATGAAGGTTCCACATCCTCTCCAGCACTTGTTATCTTCTGTCTTTTCGATTATAGTCATCTCAGTGGATGTAAAGTGATTTCATTGTGATTTCAATTTGCATTTCCCTCACCACTAATGACTTATCTTTATATGTGTTTTATAATGATTATTTAAAATTGCAATAAAATCTTATAAAATTTTTATCAAAATATTTTGAACCCCAAATATCCATTAAGTAGTTGTGATACCAGTATTTAAGAAACAGTGTTTTCAAATTTGCATATTTGGATAGAAGGTTTTTGTCCATATAAATTTATATTTTTTCTTTCAGAAGGGATTATCATATGTTTTTATTTAAGTGAACAATTTTACTTCTCTATAGTTCAAGGTTTTTCTTCAGAAATTGAGTTTGAGAAGTACATTAAGTATGACTATCGAGCTCATAAAGTGCTGGCTGCCATTGTTTTTGACTGTGACTTCAAAAATAGGCATGATCCATTGCCACTTCAGGTGAGAAAGTTGTATTTAGAGTTTTGTAAATAGTTTTCTTGTAATTGGATTTTTAGTTTCTATGATTTTAATGAATTTTGTATTATCTACCCTATTTTTATCAGTGAAGAAACTAATTTTCCCAAGATCAAACTACTTGTATAAAATTAAGCAAGAATATGAATCCAGATTTGAGTAGCTTTAATGTCTGTGTTTGTAGCTTTTGAAGTATGCTAATAAGGGAAGAACTGTATCTTTCATGCACAGGACTTCTGATCAATGGGACTCTTGGACTACTCATACAGTGCTTCTAGTTTTGCAAAAGGTAGTGAATCGCAATCATGCAAAGAGCCTTTTCTTTAAATGAGACATAGAATTTAAGTCCTTCCATAAATCTCTAGAGAAAACTCTAAGGCTTACCCACATTGATCCAGATTAGAGTGTATCATAACCCAAGAGAAGGAAAGAAAAAGACAGTGCTTGGAACTTGGTGCCTCCTTAGCAGATCTTATAAACATTGTATCCTGGTGGTGACAAAAACAAAGGGTAATCTGTAACAGCTCCACATGGAGCCAAATTCTGTATTTAGAAAACAGATGCTTGTCAGTAGAAGGCAAGATTAATAAAACCACTCATAGAACAATACATATTCTTTCTGTGTGTCCTATCCTTCCATGACTTTTCTTTTGTGCCAACTTCTATTTACCAAGTCAGAATTACCCATATACAGATATAGGTTTAGGCTCAACAATATACATTGGCTCAAAGTGTCTTCAGTGCTATTTTAAGTTTCAGTCTTATTGCTGAATAATAAGGCTTCCCTGGTGGCTCAGACAGTAAAGCATCTGCCTGCAGTGCGGGAGACCTGGGTTCGATCCCTGGTTCAGGAAGATCCCCTGGAGAAGGAAATGGCAACCCACTCCAGTACTCTTGCCTGGAAAATCCCATGGACGGAGGAGCCTGGCAGGCTGCAGTCCTTGGGGTCACAAAGAATTGGACACGACTGAGCGACTTCACTTTCACTTTCTTTTCACGTATAACACTGTTAAATTTAGGTTATGCAATGTGATGATTTGAAATGTGTATGTTGCGAAATGATTACCACAGTAAGGTTAGCTGATACATTCCTCACCTCACAGAATTACGAGTTTTGTGTGTGGTGAGAATATTTAAGATGAGTAAGATCTGGGGATCTAATGTATTGCATTCTGCTTGGTCTGTTTTGATGACTTTTCTAAAACCTTTTGACCTCTATTGATGATTTCATGTATAGCATAGACCATATAATAATATCTACCAGCTTTCCCACATCTTATGTGACTTTCTCTTTTTAAATTTTATTTATTATTACTATTTTGACTATGCTGAGTCTTGATTATGGCATGCGGGCTCTTCTTTGCATTGCAAAGGCTTCTCTAGTTGTGGTATGTAGCCTGTGGGCTTAGTTGCCCTGCAGCGTATAGGATCTTAGTTCCCTGACCAGGGATCAAACCCACATCCCCTGCACTGAAAGGTGGATTCTTTACCACTGGACCACCAGGGAAGTCCCTTACGTGGCTATCTTGACAGATCTTTTGTTCATCTACAAGGATCCACAAGGAAATCAAAGTAAATCTCAGATATGATCATGTCACTGTCCTGATGAAAAGACTTTGGTGACTTCCAATGTCCAGAGCCCTTTGCACAAATATATGGCTATCAGTATCCTAGTACTCGGCTATCTCTGATATGCCTTACCAAACTTTTTATGTTCCAGCAGTACTTAGCTTACAGAAATTACCTGGAAACACTGTATTGCTTCTTGTTTCCGGGTCTTTGGCCACATTTTCTCTGCTGTACAAATGCTACTGTGAATTCCCATTCAAACTCCCACTCAGCTTCCACACCTGTCCCTTTCTTTTCTGTCTTCATCACAACCTGCACATATTTCTGTTAGTTAGAATTCGTATGGGAACAGACACTACTGAATGCATTTCAACAAAAAGGTTTTTATATAAGGAAATATTTACAGATTCACATTCTAGATTTTAGTCACTCTTGACAAACACTTCAGAGGATCTAGCTTACCTGTTTAGATGAACCATACCCTTCTTGAGCCTTTAGTTATCAGGTCATAGTTGCTGCAAATGGTCTTAACTGTTTTCTATGGAAAAGTAAGCACCAAGAGGTGCCCCCATGTACCTCACTGTTTTCATTATGCAACAGTAACCTTAATCGTGATTAATTGCTTCCTCTCATATCATAATTTGTTTATTTGCCAGTGTACCAGTGTGAGTAGCTCAGTAATACTAGGTGATAATTATACAGCTATTTGGTGGAAGCTTTACTGTATCTCCTCTTGAAAGTCTGCTACCCCAGGAAACAAGGCCTTTAATGCAACAGAACTTGAGCTTGTAAGGATGGGATGTATAAATTCCACAAGTAGGTCTCTGGGAGTGATTAGAAGGGCCAGTTCTAATTCCAAGCCTTGGTTCCCCTACCCTTATGTTTTACCAAGAACATAGAGCCGTATACCAATTATTGTTACATAGGCCACATCCTATGGCACCATGTCCCAGATTAACAGAGCATTTACCTGAAATGTAATAGGCGTTTTCAGTTTCTTCTCTCAGGTCTGCTGCTTCTGACTCATAATGGCATATAGTAAGAACTATAGATCCCGTGGTTCCAGTGCCCATTATTGTATCTCCTTAACTATAAAATAGGTCCCCTGCTAGAGGCATATTTTGTGCCTTTACCCCTATTGCAGACCCATTTCTTTTTCTGAACTCCACTGAAAATTGTTACATCATAAATAGATCTGACCAGTTCTCTCAAATGTGGTATATGCCATCACCAAAATTTTGAAAAAGAGGCTCACAAACAGCATTGAAACACGTATATTATCTAGGGTGAAACAGTTCACCAGCCCAGGTTGGGTCCATGAGACAAGTGCTCGGGCCTGGTGCACTGGGAAGACCCAGAGGGATTGGGTGGAGAGGGAGGTGGGAGGGGGGACCGGGATGGGGAATACATGTAAAAAAAAAAAGATACACTATGGTTGTGATAAAAAATAAATAAATAAATAAATTTAAAAAAAAAGAAAAAGAGGCTCATCAAAAAAGAGGCCCACCACTTTTTGCAGTGTTTTTTTTTTTTTGAGTGGTTACGAGTACAGTGTACAGCAAAGCTACTCTTTGAGGATATATCCTGGCATACCTCAGAGACCATTGGACCCATAAAAAGCTCGCCAGTTAGCAAGGTCCTGAATCTTTATAGGCTTTATTTCTCAACATGTGGTAAGCAAATGTCTTACTAGGGCATTTAGAATGCTTGTCACTTCCTGTTTATCAGGTCTAAATGCAAATGCAAATTCATGGGACTTAAAATATATAGACCATTTTGTAAAATAATAACAAAGTTGGAAGACTTATATAAAACATATAAAACTATAGTAATCATTGAAGTGTATTAGTGGCATATGATCAACAGATGTATCTATGACACAGAACAGAAAGCCCAAAAGTAAGTTTTCTTTAATATAGTCATTTGGAACTTCATTGTGGTTTAGTGGCTAGGATTCTGATCCTAATGCAAGGGCCTGGGTTCAATGCTTGGTCATGGAACTGGGTTGCACATGCCACAACTAAGAGATCACATGCTGCAATTGAAGATCCTGCATGCAGCAGCTAAAGATTCTGCATGCCACAGCTAAAGATTCCTCATTTCACTGAAAGATGCTGCATGCCACAACTGAAGGATAACACATACCATGACAAAGATTGAAGATACCACATGCTACAACTAGACTGGGTGCAGCCAAATTAATTCATTCATTCATTTTTAAAAAAATAAATACAAAGGCACCAAAGAAATCTTATGGGGAAAGAAAGATGTTTTCAGTAAATAGTGCTGTATTGGGTGTGTATATGGAAAAAATGAACCTTGAACTGACCTCATACTACACACAAAAAATTAGCTCATGAATTTTAGATTTAAATGTCAAAGCTAAACCCAGTGCTTTTAGAGTAAAGCAAAGACAAGTATCATCTTTACTTGGGAGTAGCAAAAGTTTTTCAGATCACAGAAAGTGATAACCATTAAAGAAAAAATTAATAGATTAACTTTTATCAAACTTTTAGAAACTTCTTATCATCAAAAGACACTGTTGACTTCTGGTCTGGACAGGATGGTGGGGACTCATTTCTCTCTGTCATTCCTCACTAAGCACAGCTGGATGTAATGCAAGGGCAAAGCAAAACTCTGAAAAGTGATAAGAACCCTGCAAGTTGTTTTAAGACCTCATGCCTAGAGGAGTAACACAAGGGCACACATCTTAATGTATCACACCCAACAGACGACAGCCAAGACCCAACATTATCTGATCTCCAACCTGGCAATAGAAGACAGCAAGTAGGCTCATGCCACTCCACATCAAATGGAAGCATTTCTAACATTAGACAGTTCTGACACATCTAGCATGAGGAATGGATAGGGAACCCTGATAACAATTAGTGGCCAGGAAAGACACTCTCCTTCCTTACCAAGCCCTTCCCCTGCTAATATATACTGAAACACATGAGCAAGAGGTACTCAGCCACAAGTATCCCAGTCTGGAAGCCTCTTCATTACCTCCAGCCTAAGACATCCCTCAATGCAAGACTCTAGAGTGGGTGGGCCAGTGGAACCCACATCAAGAGGGTCCCAGCTACAAAACAGTGGCAATGCCTATGGGCCAGAGACTCTCTTTTCCTGTTCAGATACATGAGGGCAGTCAAGGAACAGTGGTAGGGAAACTCCACTACAAGAAGTCCCACATTCAGAAAGAATTGTCTGTCCCATACAGGCAGGTCCCTGCCACATGTGCCCAACCAGGAAAGCCTCTTCCTTCTTGTGGGCTGAATATCCTCTTATATAGGGAGCCTGCAGAGCAAAACAGCCAGAATTGACATGAGGAACTCAGCCACAGAAGAGCCTGGGGAGGTCTTTATGCCTTGTGCCCCCTCTGCCCCTAGAAGGAAAACTCGAACTCCTCTAGGCAG